ATAACCCGTAAAAGCGACCCAACCGTGTTGGGCAAATATATTACTAAAATGGCATTGAAAACGGCTGTACTGTGAAATTCGTGAATTGCGACTCGCTGGCGTTTGATGATATTTTGACAGCCGATCGGGTACCCCCCCCAGCTAATGACACGGGAAGCACATGGCGACGGAGACGAGGCGGTCGCGTCTGCGGGTGTCTGCGAAACGGGCTGTAGTTGAACCGCGAAAGAAAAACGCACAATCAATACGCCACACGGGCATGTGATTCGTTCGCATATTTTAGAACAGACGAGTTTTTATATTAATACAATAAAATCCGTTAAAATACCGGGAAATAATTAATTTTACGACCCGCGAGAAATTGAATTTCGTACGATAACAATACGTTTATTACTAATACGTTACAGATATTATATTGCAGCCGATAAGCGGCCGATATTGAAGGGGATTTCATTCCCGAATTTAGATACGTGTAGCGTCTACGGCGCATAAAAATAATATTACCTATCGATATTTATATTAACAAGTATGTTTTATAATATTGAGGAATTCCCGTCAAATTACCTTATTTGTAGCCGTCTGTAAAACGCACAATCGGAAACGTTCTTAACAAATACAACACTATACACTCGCACTGTATCGATTGTGGATTTTTATCCGCGTAAAAATGTATTAAAACGAATACCCGCGCGGAAAAATAACGAATTTCTGAAAATCGAAAACACCGTACAGACGTCGTCCGTTTTTTCCGGTGAAACGCGTCCGTATTCCGTGTTCATTTCCTAGTGGTTCTGTACCCGGGTTATTTATGGCGACCGCGTTTCGAGGAAAAATTTTTGAAAAAAAGAGTGGAAAAATTCGAAGCTTTGGCCACGCGTTCCTATAATACACGTTTACCGGTTCGCCCCGGGCGGCGGACGTATCCCAGTTCCGAGGAGACGGGGGCGAATTTAAAACCCGCACATGGATCACGTGGGGGGGGGAGGTGTATGATTTATAGGTAACAATAAAACAGCGGCAACGAAAACCTAAAACGTAACAAACACCGCCGCCTCCCTCCCCACAACCGTCCGCCCGGATGTCCGCCCGCAACAGTTCGACCCGGCCGGATTCGGCAAAAAGGAGAAGAGGGGAGGCAAAAAAAAAAATAATATACGGTTCACGTACCTTGTGCTGACTGGCCGATACCGAAGAGGAAAATTTCGCACGTTGCGCAATGCGTTGTTTTGCGTGGTTGAGGTCGATGTGCTGTTTGATGTCCGCGCGGCCGCCGTTTTCGATCGAGAACACCGAGTTGCATACCGTGCAGACGACTTTTCCCGTTTCGTCGGTCTCGCGCAAAAACGAGTATTCCGATTTCAAATTGGCCGTGAAAACGTACCGTCTTTTCGGCATTTCTGCGCGGGGAACGGTGTGTATATGTGACGGTATTAATGAAATGACAATCGGCGGGACGGACGCGGAAAAAGCTACGCACACCGCGAGACCGAAACGTGTACTGAAATGTCGCCGGCTCGTCGTTATCACCGCCGCCGGTCACTGTGTCTATCGCCGGTGGTGTATTTTTACGATTTTTACAAGCGGACCGGCGACTTGTGACTTATTAATTGCCGGTAAGTCCGAGCCGAAATATAAATAACGGCGCACGCAACGAAAACGGACAATACGAACCGATGCCCGGGTTATCGGAAACTCGAATCCGCTATTTTCGTAGCATCATAACTTTTAAGTTTCCGTCGGACTTTCCCCCTAAAACAGTTGCGTCTGTGTTGCGTCTGTGCCGCGTCCGATATTTTTACAATCACCTACGACGTCGTACAATATTTTCCCCGCTAATTTCGGACACTCGTAGCCGGTTCTCTCTCTATACGGATTGACCGAACGGTCTCTGAACTCGCGGTCGTTTCGTAAGGCGGAGAGTGATAAAAGTCGGTTTGAATCGCAATGTGAACTCTACCACAAGGGCGTACACAAGGGGTGGGAGGGAAGGACAACCCATCCCCTCCCCATAGCTTTCCAGCAAGTTGAAATAATTACATTCTATATTAGGTGTGTTCCTTAATTCACCCGTGACGGCGTCGCTGAATTGGCATCGTGAAATACTAAAGGAACGTCGTTTAAAACAGTGTTATCATAAAATCTAAATCTATTAAACCAAATTAACTATTATCGGCTATCACATTAAAAAAAAAAAAAATGAGATAAACATATCTATAGTCCACCGCATTTCATTAACCGATTCGGAAACACGGTAACTGATAAAGCCATCAGGGATTTTCATATTTAAAAAGGAACAACACCGATTTCACCGATGCCATCACAGATGAATTGAGAAACGCAAGGATTATTGGTACCAAGGTGTATTGATATTTATCAATACCTTGATTGGTACCTAGTCGATAAGCATACTTCGTGATAGTAGAATTCCGCTAGTTTATCATTACAATATACAATGATTAATGCCCTATGATTTTAGTTCGGTACCAACCACTACAGCCGATCATTTGTAGATTTTTTTGTGGACAGCTGACTAGCGGTTATCTAATGTGTGGAATCGTTTACCGGATTATAAGTGATACAGCGGATGTTAAGTTTACAGACGATACAAGTCGAACTTAAGTTATTGATGAATTTGGGAAAAATAAAAGAATATTTTAACTGGTGTTCAATTAGTTGCTATAAGTGTAAAATGTAATATTAAATTATAGTACCATTAAAAAAATTTGAAAATACACATAATACATTAATAAAAATTAAGGTTGTCGCCTCCCCCTGAATTGTCACCTCCTGGAACCCTAGCTTCGTCGTGTTGTTTCGGGTAACTCGTGTAGCTTCGCACACTCCTCCAGAGTTTCCGAACGAAGCCAGGTGTATGAAACTGCATTTATGTGCACGTAGTTGTATTCGAGATCGTGTCTTTCGATAGGGTCTAAAATACATCAGTTTTAAGAGGATACGATTTTTAATTCAACTTATAGAGTTATTAGATTTCCATAGCCCCCACCCCAAAAAAAAAAACCTGTGGGGCATAGCTTTTTATACACTATACTTAACTTACATATTTATAAAAACGTGTACTAAAAATTATCAACACAAAATAAAATATATAAATAAAAATTTAAATAACGTACCAATATAAAACAATTTAAAATGAATAACTTGACGTATTGGTTAGAGTGAGATTATTAATTGTTTATCTGTTATCGCCTTTAATGTTATTTCTACAATTAAAATTAATATGTATACACAATATAAAACTCGGCGCGCACTTTGATTTTCGGTGGACACACTTCGTGTCAGGGGACACATTATTTTTAGACCCTGCGTTTCGGGGAATTCAACACCTGCCCTACCGTTTTCACGATCAAATTTCGACCATTTTTGTTTCTTCTCAGAAGTAATATAATCAAATCACAATTTTTTCATAGTGTAGTGTTGGATTATTTTAATGATCGGTTATTAATTTTTTTTACAATACGATACCACAGGCGAAAGACAATTCGATTGTATAGTGACAGAGCTCCGCCGTTCACGGGTGTTTGTTCTTTCTTTTAATTCGTCGAAATAATAACATATTATTTGAATTTGTTTTTAAGCGCATTATTGTTATCGTAAATTTGCGTTCGGCAGAACCGGTGGTTTTGACGCGCTGTTGGTTTTTTCATTGTATTCGAGTGCATTGACCTATTATCAATAAACATCATATCTGTACAGCGTACAATGGTTTTTATCGATTTATTTAGTTTTAAGACATAAGCGAACATTTTTTAATAATTATTTATACATTTCGTTTAAAAATCGAAAAAAAAACGTACGTACAAACAGCAACATAATATTAAACAACAAAATAAAGGTTATTATTAGTGTTGGACACTACCGAGTGAAAACTATCGAACTACTCGATAGTTTCAAAACTATCTATTTACTCGGTTGTTTTTAATAAACTATAGACTATCGACACAATCTATTCAGTTGAAAAAGTACTCGGTTGTTTTTAAACTTCCGATAGTCAAAAATACTCGATTATTTTGTAAACCAGTCGGTGCTAATACTACCGATAGAAAACTATCGGACTATCGAGTAGTTCATTCTATTGATAATATCTATTCGGTTGAAAAAGTACTTGGTTGTTTTTTAAACTATCGATGGTCAAAATCAGTCGGTGCTACCACTGAATGAAAACTATCGACTAATTCATTCGATAGTTTTCAAAACAATCGATGGATAAAACTATCTATTCAATCGATAAATCACTCGGTTGTTTTTGTTTTTTAAGCTACCGATTGAAAATTGATAATCAAAACTAGTCGGTTCCACCCATCACTGGTGGGAACACTCGAGTTGGGTCCGCAGTAATAATATTTTATCTAATACGATTTACGCATTTTAATACGAAAATAATATTTAATAATAATAGTAGTTTTAATATTTTTTAATTGAATATTAGTTAAGTTTTAATAATAACAGTAATCATTTCAATATTATATAACTATATAAATTATATAAGAGTAAAGTAACAAAAAAAATCAAATTTTTTGGAAAACTTTCTAGCCAATTTCCACGTGGTTTCTCTTTGGTAACTCTTATAGCCTAGACTAATGTTTTCATATAAATAATAATAAAATAATTATTTCGGGATCCAACTCGTGTATGCGTTAAAGTATGCCGGAACCCAATTCATGTCGTCGGGATTCAACTCGAGGTCAGCTTCACTAGTTATTATACAAATAAGAAACAGGCAGGGTTGCCATCTGTTTTTAATATAAAGTACGACATACGACTCTGGTACCATAAACCGATTCTCGGCCACCTGTTTAACGGCTGACAAATACCTCGATCATGACGCCCTTTTTCTTTCGGAATATCCTTGAAATACCCTTTGTTTTTAGAACAATGTATTAAAACTTGTTAATATCCGTGGGCACAAACAGCCCGAATATTTTATAGGGGGCTCAAGCGCTCGATTTCGATTACGTATGGGGTACACTCGGTATATCTACTTGATAAGGATTTGGTAAGGGGGCTAACTCTATCTGCGCCAAAGTTCTTACAATTATACACGTAAAGCGCGTTCCGGCGTACTGTATCGAATATCGAAACGTCGAGAGACTGTTGTAAAGTATAAAAAGTACGGATGGCGACCCTGACCGAACACAGGACACGAACGTGCAGTAACGAAACATTATTATTAGGTATTGTTATTTTTAAGCACAGTGCGGGGAAATTATACCATAGGTAAGCGGTCGGAGATAAAAACTATAATATTATAATATAATATAATTTAGGTTATTGTTATGTCGGAAATTGAATTTTGTCGACATCATTGCTTATCGTTTTCCCAGACAGTTTCTAGTAGGTTTTAATTAAATCATCCATTATTGATATCTATTGATTTGGATTATCTATGATAAAATCGCACCAGGTAAATCGACCGGTAAATAATGTTCCCCGGTATTATCGGTATATAGGCATACGCAATCTATAATGGCTATTTACGTGATGTGCACAACGAAAGGTCGAAATGCACACTGGCCATCACCTGCGTTTTTATCGTAGACGAACCACGTGGTCTCGCGTATGCAAGGGAAACTTTCTTTTTTACCTTTTCATATTTACAGTGTAATCGATCCTCGACGGACTTACTCGTCTCGAAAAGTATTATTACGTTAACGTTATTTTTTGTTATTTTTAGGGTTGAAATCGCCGATATCTGCTTTTGATTTTCAATGGTGACCTATTATTACCTATATTTGTCTATAATATAATATACTTTTTTAATCGTGCATACATTAAATATACAAATGTTTAAAAAAATTATAAAGTTTCACAAAAAACTGGGTTAATATTAATTTAATAATTATTATTAATTATTAATTTATTCAAAATATAAATGATTCAAAATCCAAAAATAAAATAATTCAAACATTTAACTGTTACATTGGTTAAATACTTTAAATCTCAGGATTACATCGTATAACAATTATTTTACTTATATTTTCAAATTTGGAAGACCTTCGACGATCTCACGGTATGTTTTTGTAAACTACCCACCGTACTTACCTACGGTAGGTTTATAAATAACTAGGTATATCAGCAACTTTTATTGATAGCGTTAACGTTAGCGTTTACGTAGTGATATAAAGTGTTTAGTTAATATATACCATACTAATTTTTAATATTATATTTAAAATTGTTTAAAATATGCTACTAGATCTAAAAATAATCAATACATGCATTTATATGCTCAAAAATGTCAAATATGCGAATATATGCAAAATAAGTTTGTATATTTGAAATCTAGATTTCATGAATCGAATTTATATCATATTCGGGTATAATTTTGATTTCGCTAAAAACATATGCAAAGTCATTAACATCCGAGCTCTAGTGATAACCATAAACATGTTTTCGTGAATCTATAACCGTTAACTAAAATCATATAACCATTACTCACAATGAATACAACCAGGTTAATCGCCAAAACACACCTATTGAAAATTCCGCAAATAGACGGCGTTTTAGTGGAGTTAAATTTCGACGTTGAAATAATAAATTTCCGTTAACGTTCTGTATAATATTATATCAAACTCGAATGCACTACGTGTGCGCTATGGAAAGTCTGCTAACACAGCCGCCAAGTCGCAATCCCTTTTATGTAGACGTCGACTCGTATACATAAAATTGTCGTTTTGGTTATAAACCGGCAAGTAAACACGGACGATTATAGTAATGTTCGATATAATATTATGTAGGTACTCGAGTGCAACCGTCTCGTCGGTGTTGTACCAGTTTGGCGCGTCTTGGCAGCGTACCAATTACGGTTACACATGCGGACGACAACATAATTACACGTTTTCCGATCGGGGCTAACAGATTGAAATTAGAGAGCGAAACAAAAATAAAAAATAAAATACGATAATCGTAAAAAATACACGGTTAAACAGCGTCGATAAAGATAAAATATTTGACTCGTGATGGAATTTCACTGCGCGATTCATGGTGGCGGTCAAGGAAAGGTGAGATACGCGCCGTTTCCGTTAGTCAAACGTTCAGCAGGAACGATTTTTCGCACGGATATTTCAGCGAATTGACGCGCTAGGAGACGAGCACATTATTATCCGAACACGTCGGCTTTTAGATTCTGAGCGAAGCGAGGGACGTATTGGTTTTACAATGGTGCATATTTTTTTTTATTTGTGGACAACTTTTCCATTAGAAATCTTGCTCCGATTTTCGAGTGTAGTACTTTTTTTGAAAGAAAATTTTATCCGGGTGGTACTTTAGGGACGGCTATTTTTTGATTTTTACATATTACATATTTTTACACATTTTTCATATTAATTGTGAAGAGTGTAGAAAAAACGGAAAAACGTACGACACGACGTATAAGAGAACTTTGCTCCGAATCGTTTATCGTCAGCATTGGTTCATCGTTGCGTATTAAATTCCCCTCTGTACCTTACCTCCCCAACTTTTCGCCTACAACAGTGACCCGCCTGTCGTGCGAAATACGTCTTTTATTCTCGTTGTTTTATTATGTGAATTTTCACGTTATTTTAGAAACCGTCGTATTTCGCTCGAATAGCAAAATATTATCGAAACGAAAAACCGGTACGCGGTCGCACACGTCTAGAAATGTAGACGTACAAAACCCGAAAGTAAACCGTTTGAATATCAACGAAATTATTATTGTTATCGTTTTCCAGTCGAGCGGTAAGTCCGATACCCATAATATTCGAACGGTTTATTTTCGAGATTTCATAAGGTTCCGTAAAACCCCGGATTTTGTTGAAAATAAACTTCTAATAAATAACAATTATACGTATAATCGGACTATATTACTTTATTCTCGACAAGCAGGTATAATATTTGAATAGGGAAGGGGGTGCACTGGTGCAGTTTATTTTCAAATGTTTTTATGAACGCGCGTGTGTAAGAGAGGTAAGGAAGTTTTGGAAGTCTCGTCTCCGCGACGGGTTTCCGGAAAGTTTGGTTTGGATTCGGTCGTCGGTTCTCAGGAACGCCCCTCGATTTTCGGTAAATATAGGTCGCCGAAGTTTTCCACCGCAAGTTAACCACTCGATAATAATAATATTATATGAATATTTTAATGAACGCCGCGCTGCGCTCGGGACATAATAATTGGGTGTTTGCCGCGCAATTGAATCGTTATTAATTTTAACGGGCGAAAAATATACCGGTGCGTTAGTTTTTCGACTGTGGACTTTGGTCGGTTCGCGCCTTTCACCTGTCCGTCCGGTATATTATTATTATGACGTTGGCACGTGATCCATTTCACACGTGCCGACCGACGGACGTCGACAAGGTCGTCGTCGTCGCAGTCAATAAAAAAGTCAGTCGAAAGGGGGGAAAGTCAATGGATATTATGCGATATTATTGTGTCTGCTGTTGAAAAACGTCAACGTCACGGCGGACGATGGGTACATCATAATAATATAATATCATTGTTATTATCACGACGGTCGATATTTTTTTTATTAGGTGTATAGCCGTAAAAACGAATACAAAAACCGTCGGAAAAACACGGAATACCATAAACGCGAATAAACATTATCAGTTCATCGCTCTACGCGGCTCGAGAGGACAGTGTAGCGCAAATCGCATATGTTTACGCGTGCCGAGTTTGTAGAAATCACGTAATTTTGGTTTTTGGAGTCGAAGCATATTTGTTTACTATCAAACTAAAATAACGCGGATGTTTCTGATCATTCCGAACAATGTTTTCGCAGAATAAATAAAACCAGCTTAATTTTGATTGTAGAGTGAAAATACCTGTTATGAAATGTATAAAGAACAATGTTTCGAAGGGAACATTATAGGCGTTTTTTGAATTATGAACTATTAAAAAAGTTACAGTAATTTAAAAAAGAAAAAAAAAGAGAAACTGATTGAAACAGAGCATGCGGTTACCACGTCTTCTAAACGGTTTTCTATCTCCCCAAAAACGTATGATAACGAAACTAGCCGTCAACCGTAATTTCCTTCCGCAGGTTTCCTGAATGTATCTTATATTCTTTCGAACCGATTGAATTTATCATTTTTTCCGGTAGTCTTCTTTACGATAATATTCCGACGCTTTGTAGGCGGGCGGAGCGTTCCCTCGCCCGTCGGTTTGGTTGGGGCATGCCTAAGCTGCTCCGACTGCGCGCGTTCCATTTCCCTTCGCGTATTGCACTCGCAAAAACCATCGCGGTCTTTGTCCTTTGATAAGATTTGTCACACTATACATCTGTACGGTAATTTTGCTATCCCATCGCTCACCCCGTTGAATTTGTATCCAACTCCGCGAAAACCGCATCACTAACGTAACTGTATAACATAACATTCGACTTCGAAAGCTAAATGCGAGTGAACGGGCGAGAGACAATCGAAGAGTTTGAACGACTGCAGTAATAGTATAATTACGATTTTAATATTATTCACGGCAAAAATTACGCATTATAGAAACTTACGCTTGCGTTGACTACGGCGTAGTATTACCACAACGTGTGAATAATGTATCGTTAATAAAAAATAATCGATTTTACGTATATTAACCGGGCCGGTGTTGAAATTTGTTCGTAAAAACAGGTATTTATGATAATATAATCGATATTATCGTCTTTACCGCGAAAACGTTTTACGGATTTATTAATGTTTCGTAACGGAAATTCCGCGCGGCAGTTGTCGGGCGTTTATTTCGCCGACAATTTAACTACGTACTATTAAAATAACGGCGGAGCGAAAGTAAAAAAAAATCACTAATTATCATTATTATCAATATTTCGACCCGTGACAACAGGAAATCGGAAATCCACGGGAGACGAGTGAACACGTTTTTTTGACCTATCAGACGTCGTGATTGTTCGCACGGCGAATCGAGGGTTTTTTTTTACATTAAGAGGACGTGATATTAATTCCCGTGAGATTTAAGGGGTTGAGTATAGGCAATTTTCTTAGCTTTTTGGAAAAATAAATTTCTATCAACTCGAAAATATTCAAATTATCATATTCATTTAAAAATATATTTACGAGCCGTGCCATAATAATATTACAAGAAGGTATTGTTTTATGTAATTGTGAAATATTAAAGAAAAACAGTTCTCGGCTATAAGCTTAATAATTTTAAGGACTACATATTTTTACCGCGAGAACAAAATAAAACACTTAAAACGTTCAGATTTTAAAACGATAAATACTTTTATTTTATTTGTAGAATTTCAAAAAACTAAAACTGACGTAGCACAGGGCAAGTTTTCAATTTTTACGGTGAAAATTTAGTTTTTCTCAATAGTTAGGCATATAGCCATAGACAAAGCTATAATGGAATATTCGAGGTGACGTTCTATGATTCCTCCCCCCTTAACAAGAGTACGGGAGGGGGGAATATCGAATGTTAATTGTGAAATAAGAGGGATTTTCGTTTTAGTTACGATTTGTAGAAAACAGAAAAACAAAACTGGGACGCAGACGAGTTTAATTATTGTTATTATTATTATTTACACCGGAACCCGACGCAACAAAGTCCAACAAATAAACGTTTTATAAACTTCATTTCGTTCCTTTGTCGGTGTGTCGAGCATATAAATTCGTTGTTCTTTCTAATCGCGTCTGTGTTTGTCTTTGGCGCTGTAAACTGTACACGGTCTCGTTATCTCTCTCTCTCTCTCTCTCTCTCTCTCACTCTCTCTCTCTGTAATTATCGTCGAGCGTTGTGTAAGTGACGTAAATAAATAAATAAAACAAAGTTTCATAAATACACAATATAATATTATATATAGGTATACAGGCACGTGTTTCTAGTCACGGTCGTTTCGTATTCCATATAATTTATATACCTGCCTATACGCCGTTCCGACTACAATAATAATAATAATTACAATAATGAATACCCGGCGAGGCAAACAGATTGATTAAAAAAAAAAAAATAAAAAAAAAATAAAAGGGATATCCGTACGGAAATCCGCGTGCCTATAATATGTATACACCAATGTGTAAAATTATAAACCGACTAAGCCAAAACGTGACGCGCGCGCGTGTAAATTCGGGACACGGCGCGCCTAATCTATCGCTTTGTTGTCGTTATTAAAACCCGTGGCGGCACGTGCGATCGGAAACGAATCGACGAACATTTCGTATAGAGAGAGAGAAAAAAAAAAAAACTAAACAACAACCCTCCCCGTAAATTACGATTATTTTTAAACATTTACGGCGCCGCGCGTGTAGGGATACCGACGACGCAATAATATAATAATTATTATCGTCGGATCGCGGGGAACCTATTATATTTTGTAGGTACATACAAAGTCGACAAAAATAAACGAAACGCGAAATACGCCCGAAACTATCGTAACGCACGTATTATAGTAATAATAATATTATTACTCGTTTCGAGGCCCGTTTATGACGAGCGAACACGCAAACTACGTACGGGTAAAAATCTATAGATACCCGATATAATAACGGTATTACACATAGTGGGCCGCCCCGTGACTATTGTTTCGGATAAAAAATAGTGAATAAACGGGAACGGTTCCGAGAAGAAAAAAAAAACGGTCGCGATAGAATCGGCGCTGATATAACGATAAATATGTCGGGTGCCCGAGAATTCAACGGTTATAGGCCCGAAGGCGTAACCGAGATTATTTTTCGGCCGCGTGGGAGCTGAACGCGTCGTATTGAAATCCAACGCAAATTAAGTAGATATTGAAAAAAAAAAAAAACTACCGAGTACAATAATTTAATATCTTCTGACATTTCGGAAGGCCCTTTCAGTTCCCCACTGGATACGCCGCTCGCCAGGTCGCATAAACGGTAATATGAGGGGTGAAGACTGCAATAGCAGTAGCAACAGCTGCGGCTGTATGAAATGAAAACGCCGAGAAAAAAGACCTATAGAGGACGACCCGGGAAAAGACGATGGATTGACGTGGTATGCTTAGTATAGACGGTTCGGAAAGCCCGCGGTGGTGAAAATCGGATAGAAGCCGTTCCGGAAGGAGACAGGTGGCGAAGTAAGGACGGTGAAAACTTTTTGAGGTTAATCGTGCCAAAAGAAGAAGAAGAATGGTTTGAAAATATTATATACTCTTATAATAGTTGCCGTTCATTCGGTTAATCAATCATCACCTCACATCTCGGGAGCGGTTTTTTTTCGCCGTTAAATAAGAAGTACTTATTATTTTATTATATTTGTTTTGTTGTTGTTCTCTTTTTTTTTTCTTTTTTTTTTTAACATATTGTTTGTTTCGTACGAAAGCCGTCAGTTTTGTTGTTCGTCAATCACACACGCTTGTTTAATGACCCGACGCGAATGATATTTTATCGCCACGCGCGTTATTTCAATGAATTACTGTGGTGTATAATATTATATTATAGGTAGGTATGTAGTGAAGTTGTTAAAACACTCGCACGCGATAATACGAGCAGGCTATACAGTAACAGAAATCATATATTTTACAGAAAACGAAAAGACCGGGTAAAAGTTTCTCTGTACAACTACCACAATCCATTGGAACTCTTCAGTTTTGTTACAAATCGATACTTTCCGATTAGATTTAGACTCGCTCTTGTGCGTTTTAAAACGAATTGATTACGGAATCGGATTCGCCTTCGGAAACCTTATAAAACTGTAAGTCTCTAACTCATTATCCCGTTTTACGAAACAAGTGAGTTTTTAAGGTTATGGAGGATCGTCTAAATTTCGTTATAAGAACACTTGTGCAAAACATTTATTTTAAAGTAAATATAATACTAAATATACTCGAATTTGTGCAAAAATATAGATTTTAGATACGTATATAATGTTGGCCATTATGTGGCAGTATTTCAAAATTCTAACAGTTGTTGTCTTTGATCATATAAATTTAAGGTTTTTTTTTTTTTTTTGTAATCAATATACACAATGAAACCACCGTAATCTTGGGTAAAACGATTAATTTTTGTTTCGAAATAAGGGGGGAGTAGACCCTTAACCAAACTATTACGCCACCGGTCTACGCGGTATTTACGGTTCGCCGAGGAATGTTTTGCTCGTTTTAAACCGCGTCCAGGCTTATACGACCGAGGCGACCGAATAGGCACACGTGAATTAATAATTCAGCGTGGTCGGCGTTAGTTTGGACAGTTCGACCGGCCGAAAACGTCAACTGTGACTGTGCCTTCGGTCGTTTTCGCTCGGTGAGCGGCATATCAAAGGAATCTCGTTGTCTAGTTTGGACACGATTCAATGATATTATTTAGTTGGAAAGTGACATTCGGTCAGAATGTATTATTGTTTTGCGCTTTAGTACAATCGATAATAATTTTAAATCTAAAGTGTAGGTTTTTTTTTTTTTTTACTCGTGTCTTAAAGTATCGGTATTGATATTCTATAACCTGCGTCCTCTTTACTAATCAAATAGGTGTTATTTTTTCAAGTAACAAATCGGTAACTGACTCCGGTGGTGTTCTACAAAAGTTGTTAGAATGCCCAGATTGTTCTCTTCTCGCGTATAATTACTACCGCTAAAATAATTTACAGGAAGACTCTACTAGCGAAAATCACCCACCCACGTCGTTGTTTTTTGTTTTATCTTTTTTTTTTTTTATTTTATTAAAGAACATATTAATATAAAATTAGCCCTCGTCATTAACAAATCATCATCACTCGCCGGCATATATGCATTGCAAATAAACCGGATACTCTGCAGATGAACTGAAACAAATATTTTATGACAAATGCGCCCGTGTAAACGACGAAGAAGACTTTCAAATTGTGAAAGGACAGACAATTCGCCTAGAGTTTGGACAGTGTACCAAACGCATCCGAATCGAAGCGACACGTGCGATATCATTGGCTTTCGGTCGTCTTCGTTCACCTTGGTCGTATACTGCAGTCATCCGGGAATTTTCGATTGGAGGGAATGTAGCAAATAAGAATCGTGAATAAACCATAAAACCGTTTCATCCACTCGACTCGACTATGAGAATTGGTAATTTAAAAGTCGGTTCCTAAGAAAAAAAAAAACAATTTATTTATACTAAAATTTCTGCTACCAATACCGAACTAGGACCGAACTACGGTTTGTCCTCGTAACTTGGCTGAAATACACGTATTTCGATATTCGATTATTCATATTTTTTTTATATTTTTAAGCCGACGGAGAGGGACCCCTAACGCGCACGCCACTGATCGTATAGTCTGTACCAGGTTTTACAGAACGTTTGCCGCGGTTCGCGATTACATATTTTTTTCTCGATAAACGAGTGGATGTAAAACTCACTTGCTAAGAACGTACGAATTGTGTCGTCGGAGTACACTGTTTATTCCTTCCCCCTCCCCTCCGCGCGATAGTCGAGCACCGCTTGTTTCTTTTTATCGTTTAGCACGACATACAGTTTATCTATTATATGGCAAGCCGCGTTAAGTATCGTTGAACGAGTCGGTGTAATATTTATTTTTATTTTTTAAATATTTGTTATTGAAATGTGAAAATGTGTTTGTAGAGTTTGTCGCTGTTTTCCACATAACAGTATTTCAATAACGCGAGTTGCACCGTAATAATATTACTATCACGAGTTTGATGAGCATCACGAGTACCTCGTATACTTACTGTATATATCGTACTTATACGGTTATTATTGACCAATTTTATAACTATGAGTAACGATCATATTTTATTAAAAAACTTCAGTGTTTCGAGTGGGCCGCGTGATGTGCGAGTTTGGGCTGATGTTGAATTTTACCACTCGAATTTACGATTTCCCGAAGTATTCAGCTGTGTATTATATTCGACAAATATTATACCGTACGACGGTTATGAGTACCTGCCTACGCTCTTTCCGCGACGATATATATATATTATACAGAGGTGTAACATCCACACACTTATTCACGAGATAAGTTGACCAGGAACACGTTTAAACAACTAGAAAGCCAAGACTCGCCATATTATACACCCTTAAGTAAAGTTCGTGGAAATTATCAATTCGATTAAGCGAGTTAAATAAACGAAAAAAGCCTTCAGTTAGAAGTTTTTTTCTCTTTGTTATAATAAAAATAAATTAAATTAAACGAACACGGTAAACTGAAGTTCATAAATCGCAGTAGGTCTTAAGAACTACAGTCAATTAAAATTGAACTTCGAAATTTTGAAAAACATCGTTCGTCTTCAACTCGTTAACTTAACTGAAAATCGATTGAAATAAATCGTAGAAAGTTAAATTAATACCATCACGAAACGTTTTTAAAAGATTAGCTTTTTAACTTAACTTTAATTAACTAACTGCCTACATATCTGCCTATAGTCAATGCCTACCATCGGCATTTGGTGTAAAATGTCGAAGCCAATAAAACGGCCGTTTTGTCTTGTATTAAATAGAAGTTTGTAATTACATTTTGTTTAACGATAAGAGCCGAATTTATATGTTGTCAGATTTATTCCGAGCTAATGTTGAAGTGTTGTAATTTAATAGCAAATTAATCGATACTTTACCTAAAAAAAAAAAATGTAGTACCTGTTACAAAAACGTTTCCTGCATAAGTGGTTTTTATTTATTTTCTTATGTTTTACTAAATAATTTACCCGGTATACTTACGCCTGGCATTTAATTACTGCATAATTACGTCGAATGGAGAAGACGCAGGAGTACCGGGAAGTCGTACCACGAATCGTATCTAATTTCGCCCAGTCGATAACGGCGCATAAAGCAATTTTTGTATTATTTTTTCCGCGATCAGACCTGTATCACTAGTTTGCTCGCGGTTTCACACTAATTACGCACGGTCCGTATGGCGATATGGGGTCGGCGCGGTGATGACACCGTAAACCGTCTAAACTCCTAAAACGGGAAATCACCGACCCCAACGTAGTCTATTCGTCACGACGAATACGATAGCATTAGTGACGAAATTCGGAGTCAACGGTTAATCGCTCCCGGAGGCGTATGTTAACAACGTCCGCGTCCCCTACAAACTCCCCCCTCCCCCATCCCCCGACGGTTTTCACCGAAACCGACTGCGTTTTTATTACGCTCCGGCACGCGTATGATTGTCGCGAAAACTTGTGCGCGCCCGCGCGCGACTTTACGGTTTCTCGGTCGTTCCGGCCGTTCGCCGGTCTATTCCGTTGTCTCGTGACGTCCAATACGGACGGGCGCGTATCGATTAACGCACGTGCGAAAACGCCCGCGCGACAATACCGCCCCGGACCCCGGGCGCCGTCTCTCCCGCGCCGGGGGCTACTCGTCTATTATTCCCGTTCTTCCTCCAAGGGGTGTTCGGATCCGTCACCCTTTCGCGCGTCGACAAACGCGCAAACACGTACACCTCTGTCCCGTATTATATCGTGCACGAACGGGGGGGAGCGACGGCGGCGGCGTTTACGTTCCCGGGGTTAAAGGGGCCGACGGACGGACGGACGGACGGCCGCGCGGGAGAGCGAGCGTGGCAGCGCGGGGAACAATGGCTTTTTCCCGCGCGTCGTCTCCCTCTCGCCGACAACCGACGACGACGACGACGACGACGAATATAATATAAATATATGTATACTACGGGGCGCGACTGCAGGGTGTGTATGCGTGTGCGTACGCGTCGGGGTTTTATAATATAAATTAATAAAGTTCCGAGCGGGAATTTAAATGCACCGACAGGCGCCCGCCGCCGCCGCCGCCGCCACCGCCACGACGGTTTGTCGACAAAACGTTTTTCCATTTAATATCAATCCTCCCCGTCCGGCGGGCGGCGCGACGCGGCCCCCGCGAAAATTAGAAAGGCCGATTTAAAATGTAAATGTGTGCGGCGCGCGCGCGGGGTCCGCGTGTTTTTGATTGGGTTTTATTGAAAAGTTTTATGCTTTTTTTTTTTTTTCCTTTCCCTTTCCCTTTCCGCCGCCACGGCCGTTTCCTTTTTCCGCCCGGAAAAACACGCGGCTCTTCGAACGGGTCAATATTTAACTTTTTGCACTCGACGGTAATTGCTGCTGCCGCCGTCGCCGTCGCCGCCGCCGTCAGCCACGGGCAAGAGGGTCGGGCGGCCGTCATGATTGCTCGTTTAGCGCGCCACCGTCACGCCGCACGCTTTTTCGGTCGATTGCAGTCGATACGAAAATAATATTATAATACACACGTCGCGGGCGCGTATAACGAACGCGGCACGCGCATTCGAGGGAGAGTACATAATACGGACCGCGAGGGGTAGTGCGTATCGCGATGGAACGCGTACAAAACGGTTGTTGTGGAGTCGTCGCGGTAACGGTAGTATGATCATTTCGCCGTCACGCTAGACATCGTCCGATATCATCAACAGACGTCATCGTGTGATAAGCGTTGTGAAAAAAAAAATGTTAAAAAACTAACGCGTGAAATTCAAATTTTCCGCGTACTCACCGTGGTGCCAGGAGTGTATCCCGGGGGGGGGGGGGTTAGAGGTTAGAGTCCGTGATCTCCGCCAGATCCCGCTTTTTTTTTTTTTTTTGTCCAATAACGCCTTGGACGTTGGTCTAGGCCATTGTTAGGGTCCTCATCAGTTGTGAGCCCGTAGTGTTTGTCCACCTTACCCACCCAGTATTTACGCCACTGAATACGAGTGTGTATAGTTAGCGGTATTTTTACTATCTATATTACGATAAGTATAAATAAATTATAAAATACGCTTTTTGTTATACGGTTTTCTGAAAAATATGACTTAACACTCCTCTCCTCTACCCAAGTCTCTGGATACATATCAGAGGTCTCGATTGAAAACGCCAATTGTTTCACGAATACACGAACACGGAATCCGCACGAATAAAAAAAATATCTTCTAACGTATACTCGTGTCTATACACACAAATCTATCCGCGTTTTCATATGAACATGCGAATAATAATAGTACACGTGTACATGGATTATTCAAGTTTTATAGATTTCTCCAATGTTAATTTCACGTAAATATGTGAAAAAAAGGAACGCGTGAAATAAGGAGCTCTAATACATCATATACCTATTATTATAAGTATGCTTAGGTATTAGCCCAGTAGCAGTGCGAAGGAGATATAATTGAATCACGCGATTCACAAAAACACGAGTGGGTAGATCATGGGCGTTCAGAAATATAACGAAAATAATTATGTTTTTAAAATATAATTTTAAATTGCGGACATTTGATACATTTCATTTCAAGACCCCCCGAGGAAACTTGGTTTTAATTTTTGTTTGTAGATGTTTGGGTATTTTTATAGTGGTTGGTAGATGGGTGGGTGGGTTTGAAATTAAATCGTTGAATTCGTCAGGTATATAAAATTATATATATAAAAAAAAAAAAACAATACCGATAGCTCAAATAAAAAATTCTATTTACCTTATATTTGATAAACTATTAAATATAGACCATACATAAAACATAATCATTATATAAGTACCTATGAATCATGAATGTATAGATGTGTATTACAAACAAAAGAATCTCAACAACCCAATATAGAAATATTTTGAACACGTATAATAACTATAATAATGAATTCTATCATCACAAGTTTAAGTGGACTCTCGTGTACATTCTGAAATAGTATAGCTGAACTTCGTCACATAAAACATCAACATAGAAATGTAGGAACAATAAATAGGAACATCGAAAAATATTTAAATACATTTTGTTATTTTTAAAATAAAAACAATTAGATGAAAGCAAACAAACAATTTTTAAAAATTAAATATTCTATACTAAGTTTTCGAACTTTGTACGAATAAAATATGATAGATTAAATATAAAAAAGAGCTGATGGTAGGAATGGGAGCGGCCACTGTTGTAGGTGAGAAGTTTGAAAGGTAGGATACATAAGGTTATTTTATTTATATCTGTAAGCAACGATAACCCATAACTTGACAAAAGACGATTCCGAGCGCAGTTCGGTTATACTGAGAAAAAACGTGTCCACAGACTGGAACAAAGAAAAAAAGGAAAAAAGAAATAAACATCTTTGTAAAACTATACGCTTCTTCGTTCCACTCAGAATCTAAAATAACTAATTACAATCAAAAAACGTTTCTTAAGTTCGGTAAAATTATATGATTGTAGTATTGGTAATGAGTTTTTTTCCCTTATTTTAATAGAGATAATAAAAAAAAATAATACCCCGCAGTGAATTGTGATTTTGTTGTCGTTTTATTTATTTAATTTTTTTTTTTGAAGAAAAGCTCTTGAGAATCTAGGGAAATGTTTTGAATAAATTACCGCCGGTTGAAAAAACCGCATCTATTAAGTTGTGATGAGGTTTACTTTGGTGTGGAACAATCCGAAACGTTTTTACTATAACCAAAAACAATTTTTCCGAAGAAAAATAACAAAAAAAGAAAACAAGGACGGATATACTTCGTGTGTGAATCTATGTGGATGCAGCCTTTTTTGTAGCTGAAAAGTTGGGAAGTTAGGCTATATACGGGAATTTATTGTATATCTGTAAGCAATGTAACCATTGAAAACGAAGAAACGATTCAGAGCCGAGTTCAGTTGATAATGTTGCTTTGTCAACAATACAATATATGGTATTACATATGTTATGTATTATGGTAAAATGATTAAAACAATGTGCGGTTCCATGGAAACAATGACTGTTTAAAAAGATTAAAATAATAAAAACTTAGTAATAACAAAAATAAATAAAAACGGTTGCCAATGACAACCTTATATTTAATCTTTTTTAACCTAAAGATCGTGGGTTTCTTCATTTTTTCGAATATTAATGAGAATTTCAAAAAATGACCTCTCTAAAGTACCCCCCCCCCAAGAGAACATTTCTTTTCAGAAAATATGCTATACTTGATAATTGGAGTATGTTTTCTGGTAGAAAAAATGTTCACATAAAAAAAAAAATAAATAAACACCATTATAAAACCAATACATTCCTCCACTCAGAATCTAAAACGATTTAAGGGGTGAACTATCACGAATTCCGAATAAAGTATCATAATCGGTTCAAAATTCGCCTTTAAGGAATAGTGTGAAAAATATTGAGCATGTTTTCACTACCTATTTAACCGATAACTGTGTTTTCCGCGAGGAAAAACAACACGTCTCAGTATAAAAAAAACTATAATACGGTTTCTTCGCTACGCACGCAGTGTTTAAAATATAATATTATTGACTCGATCGAATAAAATATATTGTGCATTTTCAACAATAGTTTCATCATTTTATCGATATAAACCTCGGTTTATACCGAGACGGCCCGACACAATAATTGGGTACTTAATTTTAAAGTGGGGCACTGGGGCCGTATAGGTGTTATTTGTATAAATTACGAGTTTCGCCCGTTCTGAAGATAATAAATAGAGAAAAAAAAAAATCCGAAGAGTTCGTAACATATTATAATACTTTTTATATTGCACCTGATATTTATTTTTTCATTTTATCTATCTATATCGAAAATATGTGTTGATATATGACTACTTTCTTTTATTTTTTCCTTTTCGAGAATATTTGTATTATTTCGATAAAATACGTAGAGCGTGCGTTCGCGTTTACATCAGCTCCACTTTCGGATTTATCGAATTACCTATATTAATACACTATTTGATATTACTGTTATTTATGTCGTATAATATATATATATATATATAAAAAAAAAACAATACTCGAGCACTTGATTTTTTCGGTTATTCGGCATTTTTTTTTTTTCTGCCTATACACTCCGCGACTCGTATTTCCCCCTGCACGCGATAAAACCGTCGTCCGTTTCCCACGGGACGTGAACGGAATGAAAAAAAAAAACTTACGGATTTCACAAACCGTATAATAAATATTGTAAGTATATAAGTATACAGCGCACTTAACACGTGTCAATAACAGTAATATAATATAATAACAGCGACATAAAAGTAAGGTTTTTTTTTCTCTCGGTTGTTATTAATGCGCGTTTACGGATAAAGCGCCACAGGATTTTCGGAGGGCGACGTACCTCCTACATAAAAAATATATTTTTTTTTTTTCAATTTATTTGAACGAATCCCGTGAAGTTTCGTTGTGTACTCGGTTAATCGGAAACAATTATTACTCCGAGTATATACAAACGGATATAGGTACGCCGTGTTCGAGTTCGCGACGTCACAAAAATCTGCTACGGCGATTTTTTTTTTCTTGTTTGACGATTATTTCACGTCGTATCTAAAAAAAAATTACGGAATTTTCGCCTGGCGTACCTAATTCCTAACGTTTATCGACATTTTTAATCTGTTCATCTCCTAGGTATTTTTTTTTACCGTTAGACTTTCGGTTATTTTCGAATTGCCTTATCGGCAACACGGGAAATCATCCCGACCCATGTCAATCCACTTGGAATATTGTTTTTCGTATGCAATGGTTTATCACGAATTGTATGCGGCATACAAAATAAATAATTACTCTGCGCGGATCCGGGAATTATTTAAGTAGGAGAGTGGGGTAGTTAAAATGTACTTATTTAGTCAGTATATAAAGGAGAGCACATGATAATATTTTCTTATATATCGATATATGATCAGAGGTAATTATATCCCATTATCTCCTTGTAGTCCACGGGCTTATATACTTCCTACCCAACTGTTCGTCCGTACAACTGTAGTGGCATTTTTACTAACCGGAAAAAAAGGCCACGGGGGTGAACAGTTGACGAAAAACGCGTGTAAAGTATCGCCGTGGGAATTTTTAATAGGTGTGTATATCCGTGATACGAAAAATCTGAGCATTTTCACTGACCGTAAAAAGTGTTCGCCGCGATAAAAGAAAAACACATCTTATATATATATATATATATATATATATGTGTGTAGTAAAACTTTCAGCTTTTTTTCGATTCGTTTATACTTGTGTGTACACACTCTGCAAAATCTAAAACAAATCGAGTTTTATATCGAGATATTATTATTTTTTCTTTCTTTATAAACACACTTGTCAGTTCGGCGGAAATCGGTTACATATACGTATAATATATTGTACTGCAGGTACTCTAATAATATTATATAGGTTATCGAATTCAAAATAACACTTAAATAACGTCTTTTATATTAAATAGAACCACCTTGAGTACTCCATCGTATTTATTATTTATATGTGTTTTGTATATCCGTGAATTGGTGCAAGTCGAAAAAAAAAATTAATTTCCGAAAATTCCGAAAATCTCGCGTAAAGTCCGTCGTTGTTGTTACATTTTTTGTTGTTGTTGACATTGGCCTTTATAGGTATACGGGAAGAGTGTTACCACGCACAAACGACGCGGAAAACGGAATATTTCGTCGAAAGGTCGACGGGAATTATTATAATATCAACGCCGAAATCGATTTAGACTAATGCTCCGCCTGTTTACGGAACTTTAAGGTTGCCGTTCGAAAGTATACATAAATGTATAGGCATAGTCGTTACGCCCGCCAAAAATAAGGGCGACGAAGAAACAGAGTACCGTCACGTTTTATAGAACCACACCAATTTATTATTTCTCAAACGTTCCAAAACCAAAAGCCGATATTATATTATCCGCGGGACGACGGTAGTGTCTCGCGCGAGTTCTTGTCGATCACCCTGTATAATATACGCGCGTAAAATATTTGAGTTTGAGTTTGAGTATCTATGTATATATGTATACCCGGTCGGACCATCGTCGAATAATACGGTAATTGATTTCGTTATCGGGGCCGACAGTAAAAAAAAAAAAAAAATAAACAAAATCGTTACGACCGTGTCATCGCGTATTTACACAGTCAATAACCGTTATCGGGTTCACACACATACACACACACACACACACACACACACACAATATACACACTTGTACACGACGACGTCTTTGAGAATCCAAGTCAAATATTATATACTTAATACTGTTATTATTGTTATAAGTGAACGGTCTTAACCTCTACACACGAGTTTTTTTTTTCAAACACGATATTATTTACTACTACTCGTACTCGAACCGCGCGTTTATCAATTCGGTGTTATTATAATATACGAGTATACAATACGACCGCAGCCCGCACCACACTATACGGACGGTTTGAAATTACAACTTACGAGTACCTGCAACACGTATATAATAATATGATTAATGATTCGCTGTTCAATATTATAATACTATGTATATACTACATATGACGTATATATGACTATGTATGACGTATCACATCCACTTGATGAAATTGTTCATTTAATGAAAAGTTATCCAGTGCATGAAATGGAAACCGTTTTTTTTTCACTTAGTGAAATAAATGCAAATTTCATGAAGTGAAATTTCATGGGTATTAAAATTTCATATCGTATAATTTTTTTCGTCAATTGGTCATCCACTTGGTGAAACAAAATATAATAAACATTTAATTTATATTATTCTTTCAGTGGTTTAATTTATTTTATCTTAATTTTGATTTATTTATTGAAACAATAAGTTGAATCATGACAACGGCTATTATATTTTAGTTAAGCTTTTAAATATGCGCAACGGTTATAGAATTACATTTTTTTTTTACATGAACAGCTCAAATACCATTGTCCCTCCGATAAAGCAGTAACTGTTTCACAAAGTGTTATTCCTTTGTTATTTTTTACTTAATTAACATTAATAAAATTTGGCCAGTTGTAATTTCCAGATCCAAACCATCTTTTTAATAATCCATGCTGGGTTCCTATACGATTCATATTATTTCTTTGATTTAAAATAACACTAATTAAAGTTCTTTTTGGAAATGAACCAAAAATTGGTTTGGCTTTTTCAAATTTGCCATTAGATTTAATTTAAAAACTCTCTACTGATAAAGAGCTTGAAAAAATATACCAACAAAATACTATAACAGATTAATTAAGTTCAACCTGCTCAATTCGTAGTAAAGAAATAGTTGTTGAAATCGATTCTGCAGAAGACATAATTTGCGGTTTGTGTAAGAAAGGTGAACAAATTAAAAAAGAACGTCAAGAATCCCACGAAGGTCTAAAGAAAGCAGTTATAAAAATGTTACAGGTTAGATTTAAAAATTTAAATACGTTAATTATTATAAATATATAATCAAAAATGTCTTCATTAAATTATTTATACAGAATAGCAAAGCTGAAATTCCGGAACACAAAATTAATGACTGTGTGATTATTCCAGTACCAAAAGTAAACAATAGACCTTCAGATCCTGTAAACATATTTGGTACTATTGTAGATCAAAGAAATAATATGAATCGTATAGGAACCCAGCATGAATTATTAAAAGGACGGTTTGGATCTGGAAATTTGCAACTGGCCATATCAAATTTTATTAATGTAAAAAATAACAAGGAAATAACACTTTGTGAAACAGTTGCTGCTTTATTAAGGGTACTAGGGCATTTGAGCTGTTCGTGTACAAAAAAAAAAAAAATGTAATTCTATAAACATTGCACTTATTTAAAACCTAAACTAAAATATAATAGTTATTGTCACGATTCAACTTATTGTTTAAATAAACAAATCAAAATTAAAATAAAATAAATTAAACCAACGAGAGTATAATATGAATTAAATGTATATTATATTTTGTTTTACCAAGTGGATGACTATTTGATAAAAAAAATTACACGATATGAAATTTTAGTATCCATTTCGTGAAAAGATATCCACTTCATGAAATTCGTATTTATTTCACTAAGTGGAAATAAACGGTTTCTATTTCATGAATTGGATAACTTTTCATGAAATGGACAATGTCATCAAGTGGATGCGACATATATATATATATATAAACGCGGTCGTGTCGTATAATATTTGATTATATTATCGTTTGTTTATTTTACGTCCGTCGCTATCGTACGGGTTTTTTTTTTTTTTTTTAATTTAATGTTTTTCTTCTCGTATTTTAATAATGCAATCGTATTATCGCCGTCATCACCGCCGCCGCCGCTGCCACCGCTGTACAGTCAAAAATTCGCGGCGGTAAAAGTGCATGGGGTCCTAGATATTTATATGCGCAGCGTGTGGGCAGTGGCGCATTATAATAATATATAAGGGAGTGGCGAAACGTTTCAATCGCGAATAAATTTTAAAGTCCTCGAACGGTCGGGCGAAGGAAGATAAAATAAAACGTTTCCGGTGTTCGGTAATTTCGATCGAATCGATCGTGCGGGATCGAAAAAACAATCGATGATAATCGGACGCGTTTATTTTCTACTTATTCCTAAATACGCACGAAAACGTGAACGTTTAAATAACGTCCTTTATTATCGGTATACTCGCTGCAAAGGCAATCTGAAATATTAAATAGTATAGCCACGCAATCCTGAATGGCGGTTATTATATGTATAGCGTTATTATCGGTGGATTGGACAGCTTATCACTTTCACGTTTCGAAAAGTTTTTTAATCCGTCTGTTTTTTTCCCGTCGTGTTTGTCGCATGTGTTTGTTCGTTACCCGTTGTAATTCGCAGTGGTACGGTGCCTATCAATCGGAATGATTTTTTTTTTTACAATCGCTGTATCGCAGAAATTCGATTATAATGCATATATGTCCGCAAATATAAACCGTGTTTTTTTATTTTGCATCACAATTGACTGTACTCTAATCGTATTTCACGGAATAAAACCACGGGGAGTTATAATATAGAAAAAAATATTTCGTTTGATTAAAACCGTCGAAATTACCATATGTGTACTGATTAGAGTATTATAATAATCGCTGCTTAACAATGAGTCCAGTTGGGCCGCAGATTACATTACGAAAAATTAACGAAAAAAGAAAAAAAAATGTCATTTCGATTGACGGTATAGCACAATAGGTTGGTGTCACACGCTCCACACGACCGCAGTGGCGTAAATTAACACAATTTTAAAACCAAACATTTGTATTAGTTGTCTTTCCTACATATTCAAACATTTATATAATTTTATCTGGCCTGCCCCGTAGAAAAACATTTCCAGTTACGCTTTAGATACGCTTCCCCCTCCCCCTCCCCGGCTATTTTCGACCCTGATAAACGCGGGCGGAAAAGTCTCGTACGCGAAAAACCATGACGTTTCACGCGAAACGCACGTGCGTATGGTTTTCTACATTATGCTATAGTAACTCGGTGACAGAATTTGTTCACATCTTCGGTCCGACTATTTTTAATCGGTAATTGTAATTCGGTTTCGAACCGGAGTGTACGTACAGTACAAATAGCGCGTACAACGTGCGACAACAATTTTTTTTTTTTTTTTGTGTGTATGCACAGGTTTAACTGGTATATATATATTATATCAACACTTGGTTGTAGCTGGTTTACGTAAGTTAAGACAAAACGCGTCGCTCGTGTTACCTCTAGTGCAGTGCGACAATAATATATAATATTTGACTTTCGAACAATCGCCGGTTCAAACACTTTTGTTTGCGCGCGCCACTCTGAAATCCGACTAACCGTCGAAAACCCGAGACGATAACGAAAATATTTTTTTTTATTATTGTGAGGTATACGACGGTTTTTTCGAGACCGACAACTGTAGTTTTATGGAAATTAATACGATATTGTATTACGTTACCGTAATCGGAAATTTCGATAAAAAAAAAAAAAAAAAAAAACGTATATTATGCCCGATATACCTAATCGAATTTAGTTTCGGTGTCAAATTTTGTTATTATTTTATGCAAGAATTGTCGCGTGTGCGTGCCATTTTTAATGCACATTATTATCGCATTGCACATTGCATATTATTGTAAACGCAGCGGTTAAAGTGGGAAAAACTTCCAGAAGAGACTATATTAACCGAAAATCGAGAGGCGTTCCCGAGAACTATACAAACTTCTCCAGTTCTCCCAACCGGACTTTCATAAAACCCATCCGTTGGAGACTACACTTACAAAATGTTTTTTCTCCCACACGCATTTGTTCATCAAAATATTATGCTAGTATAGGGTTTAAAAATGAACTGTGCCCATTCCCTCCCTCTCCTTCAATATTATCCTATATATACAGAGAATCTACGAGATAATAAAGATAATCAAATTATTTTTTTTGTACATTACTCACAGAAATAAGGACTATAAATATTTATATTTCAATTAATTCTTTTGGTAAAAACTTAAAAAACTTTTTATTTTATTATTTTTGAAAAATGTTAAGACGTTATTTTATAGAGTTTATTTTTCTGAACATTTTGATCTATCAACTTTTTATTTTCATTAAATTAGTGATTTTTAATAATTGTTTAAAGTTTTGAGAAAAAAAGTGCACAGTCAATATTAGCCTTAATAATAATAATCAATTAACGAACGCGATTAAAGCCTGCTGCATATAAGTTCTTTTCTTTGAACTTATAAAAAATTCTTAAAAATCAAGAATTTAATGAAAATAAAAAGTGGAAACGTCAAAATTGTCAAAATAAACTCTATATCTATAGAGTCTATAAAATAGCTATTTTAAAATGTTTTGAATAAAATAAGAAGTAATTTGTTTAGTTTTTTTTTACCAAATTATACAAATTTAATTCAAATATAAATATTCGGAGTCCTTATTCATGTTAGTAATATACAAAAAACAGAATTTGATTATTTTTATTATCTCAGGAAATATTACAATGGGTGTATGTCTTCGTGGAACACTCTGTATATTATATGCCTGTTCAGTAAAAAAACAATCTGAATACGTATAATTTAATTATAGGTATTAAAGAATTATTTATTTTCAATGAAACTAATTCGAGTTTTGTTTTAAATTTCCCTCGTGTAACGAGTCAATAATTAAAGCGTCTCCCTGGACTTCGAAGATTTACAATAAAGAGAACAGATCATTTAACGTCAAACAAAAAAAGGAAGGACATTGTCCCCCCTTCATTGGCTATTTTAACCACCGTGTAAACGTGTATGGAATTTATCGACCGGAAAGACGCAGTAGTATACAAAACTATCGTACGTGTCTATAAAAAGTATACGTTAAATCAGTTAGGTACGTGTTTTAAATTTATCGATACAGCAATAAAAAATAACTACCTATACAATAATTTTTGGTGATATTTCGGATTGCACGATGAATATTAAAAAAAAAGAAAAAAAAAAAAGAAAAAGAACGAGAGATATTATATTCATTGGTTCCGGACGATAATGTTTTTTTTTAAATTTTATTTTTGTTTTATTCAAATCGCGAGTTCGTGCCGTACTGTGAAATATTTCCGAAATTGCATTGTAGATAATTTAAACGTATTATAACAATACAATAATCGATGAGTTTACGTGACTTTAGAACTGATTGCACCGTAATACGCGTGTTTGACGCGTTAATTTCGTTATAAGTATACCGATTTCGCACGGAAAAAGCTATACGCGTTTTAATTAATAAACAAATAAAAAAGACGGTCGTACTTCGCACGACGGGTGAGCCACTGTTCTAGGTGAGACGTTGGGAAGGTAGGATATTACGGAGAGGAATTTAGTTTATATATGTACGCAATGGAAAACAATTGCTAACGGAAAACGATTCGGTTCAAAGTTTTTTTTATACATGTACGTACATTTTTCACATTTTCTACGGTTTTTCCCAATTATTATGAAAACCGCTTGGAAAATCAAAAAAAAAAAAAAAAAAAAAAAAAATGACTTCTTCAAAGTACCGAGTAGATAAAATTTTATTTCAGAAAAGATACAACATTTGATATGTCGAAGCGAAATTCATAGTAGACACTGTGTACACAGTATAAAAAAAAAGTACTTGAATAAACATCATCGTAAAACCAATACACATTCCTCATCGCTATACGCTCCGAATCTAAAAGTTAAAAAAAACAAAAATAAACAAATTTGATTATAAAAATGGCGAGGGTGGGGGTTGAAAGTTGTAACTCCCAAAAGGAATATCTTCGATGCAAACGCGTTCATACATAATGCAAAATTGTATTCTCCCGGTTTCGTTAGGTCATCTGTATATTATGTTCAAAGATAAAAAAAAAAAAAACTACGTTTCCCGTAGTAACACGAAGATGTACTGAATAAGACTCTCCACATATTTTTGAATGGAGCTAACGGAACCGTTAAAAAAAAATAACACGTATAAACTATGGAACGTCAAAATGTTTACGAATTAGCGAGTACTTATCGTTCATTATGTAATTATACCGAAATAATACGTGTAAAATAAAATTGCCGTTGTTTTAATAAAAGAGGTTTAAATCGTGTGAACATTTCTAATCGAAATTGAAATATCTCAGGGGCGATTTACATATTTTATTTTGAAGCGGAAAAAGAACAACTCGAAAAAGGATTGTTTCGGGGGAGTGATTTAAAAATGTAACGAATACAAAACATGAAATAAACCAGGCACGTACTAATAAAATTCTCGGCATAACCTAACCTGCAGTACTTACTAATGTTCTGTAAGCACGCGCATTGATTGCGATATGTTTGATCCACTCCGTGACCGGATGGATACGTCAATCAGAATTTGTCTGAATCTAAAACGAAACAAGCGAGCCGTTGAGCGCGCGGTAGTTCGACCGATGTTTACCGCGTTATTGTATTGAAATTGTTTTGAAAAAAAGGGGGAGGTGGTAGGGAAACGGCGCGGCGACGCGTTTTCGATTGTCCCCGGGTCGGTCGCAGTCTCGAACCGCCGATACCTCGACACACAATACGCGGAAACGACAGCGTGCGCCACGTGTCCTCGCCGGCGGACGGACGCGGCGACGCGTCCGACCGCGGGCAATACGCGATGCCGCGTGGTGATTGTATGACACCGCGGCGGCCGGGTACGCGCGTACCGCGCGTTATCCGCGGTCGGAAAAGCGTCGGCCGGCGCGGCGGAGGCGTCGCGCGTCCGCGCGATAAACGCCGCGGCGCGGACCACCTGTTCGTCGCCCGCGAAAAGACGCTCCCGGTCGCCGCCGCGGTTATCGCCCGGGGATTATATTATTATTATTACCGTACACAGCTGCAGGGTCGGGTACATTATATTATTATTATTGTTGTTGTTGTTGTTACCGTTATTATACACGCGCCGCGCGCTCGCACGTTTTCCCGTAACGGCTCCCCGCGGCCCGGGCTCCGGTTCGTATGCGATGTGCGTCGGGGGCGAGGGGCGCGTGTACCCCGGCGCGCACGCCGCCGTGCCGTTCGCTCGCGATTACCGCCGGGGCGAAACGATACGGTAATATCACTAAACTGCGAGCGGTATACGGCGGCGGCGGCGGCGGCGGCTGCGGCGGCGAAAAGGACACCGAAGGGGCGGCGGTCGTGTATATATTAGCGGCGGCGGCGACGACATTCGCGTGCACACGTACGGTCGCGGCGGCGTTGTATGCGCGCATATTGTCTATTATATTGCAATAATGATACGGTCGCGGCGTAGCTTTTCGCCGTACGGCGCGGGGGCGCGGCGAACGGAGGGATTTTAATAATAGTCGGCTAATTCGGCGGCGGCGACCCTATTGCCATTTATTCGCTAATCCGCCAGACCGTCGCCGCCGCGTTGTTATATCGCCGTTATATACAACACGCAAAAGCGCCGCCGCCGCCGCCGCCCCGCTCGTTCCGCGCGGAAGGGGCACCACCGAAACGGCCCTCCGCCCCGCACGCGATTCCCTCCGTGCGATTATTTATCGCGCTCGCGTCTCTTCGTCGAGCTCTTTTCGCGCGCCGCCGCCGCCGCGGAAACCGCACGACGACGGGGACGAAATTAAAATCTGCAGCACGCGCGGTCGTATCTCGCGCCGCACGATGAATTATTTATCGTACCGCCGCCGCCGCCGCCGTCGCCGCGTCGTTTCGCCAAAGCTTTTTCTCGACGGATCGGTGGCCCGGCCAACTCCACTATCCCGCCGCCCCTTCACCCGTTTCCGGTATCGAAAAATGCTGCGCGTGTATACGTGTGCCGCGGCGACAATGCCGGACGGTGCGTCGACTTTCGTTCGGTGTATTTTCAAGATAAAACCGATATACCGCGGTATCCTCTACCTACCTCTCGCGGCTCGTTCGCGTAAAGCCGGGAAAGTCGTACCGATTTTCTTTTACGGGTACAGGCAGCGAAACGAACCTAAAAAGCCGTCCTAGGATAATGGGGACACGGGTAGTGTATCCGCTGTTGTCGGTAAGTAGTTGGGAAGGTATAGAACAGAAATTATAATTTGTACCTGTAAACAACGGTAAACCATTGTTTACTAAAACGATTCTGAGCGGTGTTCAGTTGATAGTGATGTTTTGTCAACAATATATATGTGGTGTTATGGTAAAACAATTATATAAGTATTATATATTTTCTTTAATAATATTTGTTTAATATCGTACTCATTTTCCCGTTTTTCCCAATTTACCAATTTTTTTTTTTATCGGTTTTTCACATTTTTTGAGAAAACTACTGGGAAAATCGAAAAATGACCACCTTAAAGTATTATTCCAAGAAAATTTCCTTTCAGAAAAGAGTCTACATTGTATACGTCGGAGTAAGTTTTCTGGTAGAAGGTAAATGTTCACATAAAAAATAAAATAAATATCTTTGTAAAACCAATATGTTCTTCGCTCCGTTCAAAATCTAAAAATGAAAATAAACGAGTACTTAAGCCAAAGTTCGTTTTAAAACGTAAACGAAATCTCGTAACCGAGTTAAAGTTTTTAAAATTACGTTTATTGTACTCTATAACAACTGTAGATATATACTGTTGGTATATATACAGATGTATTAAATGTATTAAATCGTATAACGTTTTGGAAATAACTTAAATTTAAACACAATACGTCAATAGCTATAAGTTAGTTTCTAACGTTTTATTTTTTTTCCTTAACCAAGTTGAAAATTATCAGAAATGTTACTTATAAGTCGACCGGTATAGCTTTAGAATGTGCCGATTTTT